AGACCTAGTCTTATTTTCTCTAGACCAAAATAACCTTTGTGATATTTGTTCGAGAGCCATTCAAATGTTTTACAGCTTAATTTATTCTGTACAATGGCACTCAATAACGAGTCTGATTCCTTCAGATTATATTTATTACTTAAAGTTTTGAGAGTGCTCTCCAGTTTAATTCTAAACTGCTGTAAACCTTTGTAAGTGTGATCTGGAGTTTTAAATTAACAATGATATTCACTAGATCCAACTTACTTTGTTCTATATTACCATAAGTGACCTTCAACAAGTCAACTGCTTCCTTGTAAGAATCATCTACATTGGGAAAGGCTTGTATGAGTATGTGAGCATCTCTTATCTGCCCTTTGAGGTAAAATAATTTAGTTACACAGGCTAGGTCACTCCTATCATGCACAGCTGCTTTAAAAATTGACCAAAACTCCTCCCAATTTTCTCCAGGATTAAATACAGGTAAACATAATTCTGGGAGTTTTGGCAAAGACATCTTATTTGTTGGAATAGATTGATTAATTGCCTGGTTTACACCTTTTAATTTATTCAAAACCTGACTTTTACAAGAATCTTTTCTTCTAATTCATAATACTGGTTAATCATAAAATTTATTTCTGTCTCATCTACACAGTGTACTAACAAATCTCTTTCATATTTGTTGTAATATAATTTGTATGAATCATATCTATTCCCTAAAGCATCTATATACAATTTTAAATCATCAGTATTCACAGTTTCTTGATTCATTAATTCCAAACATCTATTGTATGCCTTTGTTACATGACCCTTTCGAGCCTGCAATGATGATTTTTTTTTTGCTCTAAATTCCATGTGTTTGTCATCTACATTAATTTCCTCATTTTCACCCATGATGTAATGTATTAAATTCAACTTAATTAATAACACTGATTATGTACTTAATTATGCACTTTATGAAGGTAAATATTACAACTTACCTTGAATGAATCTTAGCTACTTCAGCTTAGCAATTACATATAGCAAAATTATAATATAAACTTTAAATATGCGTTAATAATCTTAGCTACACTTGAGCTTAGCAATTACATGTTAGGAAATTATAATATAAATTTTAAATACACATTAATATAAATCTTAGCCAGACTTGGCTTAGCAAAATTAATATTATACAAACACACTAATATAAATCTCTGTCAGACTTGGCTTAGCAAAACTGATATTATACAAATACACTAATATAAATCCTTGCCAGGCATGGCTTAGCAAAATTAATATTATACAAATACACTAATATAAATCCTAGCCAGAATTGGGCTTAGCAAATTTAGTATTGTAATAATTATAATCCACTACACTAAGTAAATTTGTGGACCTAACATCCACCTCCTTCTGTCATTTCACATATAACTATTAAGTAATTAATTTGCTAATTAATGACTTCACTAATTACATCCAGTTCAATTAAGGACCAACAGGCAACTATTGTGGAAAATTAAATTTACGTGGATGTAACTCATAAGGTACATACCAGTAAATGGTAACAAAGATAATTATTCTTTATCAAGGTTACAGAGACAAGTAGGAGTTTTAGGACACCTAGGTCGCAAAAAATGTCCCCCTTCGATACCTACCATAATCTATATCTCCACAAGTCACTCTGGACCTATATTATTTTCAAATGAAATATACATCACCAGGAATTCTGGTAAAAGCATTAATATCAATATGTGGACTGTATATTAAATTTAAAATGTGAATACATATGCATTGAAGGAGAATTTATAATAATAAGACTCACCAATTAGTCTGGAGATTACTGTGTATCATACCCCCTCCCCCCTTCCCATCCCTAAATATGAAGAAAATACTGGCCAGAATCTCAACTTGCGAGTTTTTGGCAAGCCTGGTATTCCATTGAGGCCCATATCTTCGGGAATAGGCAGTGCTCCCCACCAACTCTCAGGAATTCTAGCAAAACACCTCTCTAAACTCTTGGGCAATATCAGTCCAGCACATCTCAAACACTCAGGTGATCTTCTCAATCGCATTCGCAACATCAACATCAGGAACAAGAAACTTTCCAGCCCTGACATAACTTCCCTATTCACCAAAGTACCTACTACACAAGTCATCGATCTCTTGCGCAGGAAAATTAACGATTCGCTTGATCTTCCTATTCCAGCCAGCGATTTCATCGAACTTGTTGAACAATGTGTTGGCTTTACGTGTTTCTCTTTCGAAAAATCACCTCTTTCAGCAGACTTTTAGACTACCCATGGGTTCGCCACTCAGTGCCGTCCTGGCGAGCCTATACATGGAACATCTGGAAGCCAAGCGTTTCTCCACTATTATTCCTTCGTCTGTCACCTGGCTCCGTTATGTTGACGACATTCTCCTCATATCTCCCAGACGCTTCAACGTTCAAGCTCTCCAAGACAAGCTCAACCAGGTCGAGCCCTCAATCCAGTTCACACTTGAAGAAGTCGACAACACTCTTCCTTTCCTTGATGTTCTTCTCTGCAAAGCTGACCATGAACTTCGTTTTAAAGTCTATCGAAAACCCACCAACCAAAACGATCTTCTACACTTCCACTCTCACCACGACACCAAAACTAAATGTGGTGTAATTATAGGCTTCTTCCTGCGTACACTCAGAATCTGCAGCAATGAGTTCCTTGAGGAAGAATGCACTCTAATTGAACAAGTATTTTCTAAACTGCACTATCCTCGTCACTTCATCAGAGACTGCAGACGACGGGCATTAAACATCTTTAACACACCCAAAGAAGACACTGCCGAGAAGAGATACACAGTCCTCCCCACCAACTCCATTGCCTAACACGTTTCCAACATCTTTTCCAATACCTCATTCCAAGTATCTACCTCCACAACCACGACCATCAAGGATATTACCAGTAATAGACAGGACAAGCTTCCATCCTCTAGAGGGGTATACATAATCCCTTGTAATGACTGCAGCAAATTATACGTGGGCGAAGCATCAAGAGACCTCCAAACACGTATTTCAGAACACCAATACGCAAGCAGGTCTGATGATATAAGGAATACCTGTGTACAACACCGTAATTCACACAACCATTTAATAAACTACAGAAGCCACAGAAGACAACACTCAATACCGTAGAATCCTGGAATCATCGATTATCTCTATGACCAACAACTTCAACCAGAACAATGGCTTCTATAACATAGCTGAACCACTTGCCAAGAAACTTCTTCATCACTATCCCACATAAGAGCATAGGAATGGAGGAACACGGCAGAAGGTCTGCTCACAAACTTATCCAATCTCCCTTCCAAGCTACCCCGCTCGGTAGATCATCAGATGCAGCATTCTCCACCTGACCACAGCATTCTGAACCTGACAATAAATACTCGCGTACCTTCCACCCCATGTAGATCTGTTTGTGACTTGAAAAAGTCCACTGTGTGGGCGAAACGTTGTCAATAAAGGATCACATTATACTGCATATGTTTTTATATTTCCATCTGGAGGGTGTGCGTCAGATCAGATAGAGCACTGTAGACCACGTGGCAGACACCACATACACACTCATACACCATAACACACAATCCAACCTTCCACTTTTCACACAATAAACACACACACACACACATTCTCATATATACAGAGGCACACACTCTCTTCCCCCTGCACCTGGAGAGAGTTCCGGGGGTCAGCGCCCCCGCGACCCGATCTGTGACCAGACCTCATGGTGGATCAGGGCTTGATCAACCAAACTGTTATTGCTGGCTGCACGCAATCCAACGTACGAACCACAGCCCGGCTGGTCAGGTACCGACTTTAGGTGCTTGTCCAGTGCCTGCTTGAAGACAACCAGGGGTCTATTGGTAATCCCCCTTATGTATGCTGGGAGGCAGTTGAACAGTCTTGAGACCCTGATACTTATCGTGTTGTCTCTTAACGTGCTACTGGCACCCCTACTTTTCATTGGGGGATGTTGCATCGTCTGCCGAGTCGTAGGGAGTGATTTTCGTGTGCAAGTTTGGTACTAACCCCTCTAGGATTTTCCAGGTGTATATAATCATGTATCTCTCCCACCTGCATTCCAAGGAGTACAGGCTCAGGAGCTTCAAGCGTTCCCAGTAACTGAGGTGTTTTATCTCAGTTATGCGTGCCATGAAGGTTCTCTGTTCATTTTCTAGGTCAGGAATTTCACCTCCCTTGGAAGGTACTGTTAGTTTGCAGCAATATTCCAGCCTAGATAGAACAAGCAACCTGAAGAGTGTCATCATGGGCCTGGCCTCCCTAGTTTTGAAGGTTCTCATTATCCATCCTGTCATTTTTCTAGCAGATGCGATTGATACAATGTTATGGTCCTTGAAGGTGAGATCCTCCGACATGATCACTCCCAGGTCTTTGACGTTAGTTTCTCGCTCTATTGTGTGGTTGGAATTTGTTTTATACTCTGATGAAGTTTTAATTTCCTCACATTTACCATATCGGAGTAATTTAAATTTCTCATCATTGAACTTCATATTGTTTTCTGCAGCCCACTGAGAGACTTGGTTGATGTCTGCCTGGAGCCTTGCAGTGTCTTCAATGGAAGACACTGTCATGAACCCTCCCCCCACCTATCTCCCACTCCTTCCCCTGGTCCCCCCTCTCTCTCTCACCCTCCTCCCCCTCCTCTCCCTCTTTCCCCCTCTCCCTCTCCCATTCTCTCTCCCCATTGCTTCTCCCTCCTTCTCTCTCCTCATTCCCCCTCCCCACCCCTCACTCATTTCGCCACTGTCTCGGGCTTCCTCCTCTCCCTCCCTCTGCCCCCCCCCACACACACTTGGATAAACACACCACAAAATAAACACACAGAATTACATAAGTTTTTCATTCTGTGGCAACCAAAAAAAAAATGGGTTGCCAGAGAGCAGGAAGGAAAACCAGAGAACTGGAAGATCAGTCTGCAAAGGAAGATTGGGCAGCAGAGCCCTTGAAAAGGGAACATAAGTGGGGAAAGAAGCTAAAAGAGCTTAGCATGAGAATAGATGCAGAAGGCAAGAAGTGGCAGATGCAGGTTGCTGCAGCAGAGGCTAAGGTACAGAGATAAGAAGATGAACTGAATAATCTGAAATAGCCTAAAGAACTAAAGAACAATTTGGGAGTGACATCAGAGACCGCTACCTCAGTCACAAGCAAGGGGGCTGTAGAGAACAAAGGAGTGAAAATGTGCACAGAGACCCTGTCAGACCATTGTCGAGCCCGAGAAAAAGAGAGAATCACATGAAAGAGCTAAGCTATACGTGGAGACCCTAACAGCCCACAGCAGAGCCCAGAGAAAGCTGAGAAAGGAAAATGACAGGTACTGGGCCCAAGGACAACAGATAATGAAGAAACTAAAGACAGGTAAGCTACAATGGAGGCAACTGAATCGAATCAGGGGATTCATAGGAATATGCAGTGGGAGAATGAAAGGGAAAGGTCAGTCTTTGTTTATGGGCTCCAGGAAGTTGAAGGGGAAACTTTGAGGCAAGAAGACAATGGGAAACAAATGTGATTGAAAGCATTATAAACGCAATAGGAGAAGATGACATGACCCAGCTGGCAAATTTTCGGAGAATAGGGGAGTTTGCAAGAACAAGAACCTGGCCAGTCAACGTAGCTTTCAAGGCAGAATCGACTTGAAATAGGATCCTGCAGGAGATAGCAAGACTAAGGGACATGTCGGTGTACCAGAAGGTATATTTCGACAGTGACAGAACACGAGAAGAAAGGCAGAAATTGGAAGAGATGGTACAAAGATGAAAGGAGGAGAGAGAGGTGAAGATGGACAGGAGAACCCAGACTCAGGAGGAAGATCAAATACAGTCTCCCTCACAACCACCTACAGAAGTCCTCCAACCAGGACAACCCCACTGCAACTAAACATTCTAACCCAAAACACACATGTCATATCCAGTGCCCCCATGTACCTCATTACAAACTCCACCCTCACAGCAACCACCCACAATTCCTTATCAGTTCTCCCACTTCCCCAACCCCAACGTACCCCCACCCCACAGACAACAGTTTTAGAAAAGAAGTTATGTAGATGAATGGTTCAGAGAATCGACAAGTTGATAAATTAGACACATATGCAACACTTGGGTATCTTTAATTGAGGAAGCATTTCACCACACAGTGACTTCATCAGTCCATACAAATAAGAATGGTGAAGAACAAGAGGAGTTTGAGGTAATCAGTCCCTCAGCCTTGAGTCGATGTGGTCAGTCCAACAATCTTGAAAAGAATACAGCATATCTGCACAGAAGTAGCTTGTATATCGTAGGCAGGAGAGGTGCAGCAGTCGTATGTGGTATCACATTTGTCCAATGTGGAAGTAGGTTATGCCCAAGGGTTAGGTGAGTGATGAATTCCCTGTATTAAGATCCCAAGATGTTGCTGTGTCAGATAGGAATGTAGATGAATGGTTCAGAGAACCGACAAGTTGATAAATTAGACACATATGCAACACTTGGGTATCTTTAATAAGGAAACCATTCATCTACATTCCTGTCTGACACAGCAACATCCTGGGATCTTAATACAGGGAATTCTTCACTTGCCTAACCCTTGGGCATAACCTACTTCCACATTGGACAAAGGTGATACCACCTACGACTGCTGCACCTCTCCTGCCTACGGTATATAAGCTACTTCTCCGCAGATATGCTGTATTCTTTTCAAGATTGATGGACTGACCACATCGATTCAAGGCTGAGGGACTGATTACCTCAAACTCCTCCTGTTCTTCAACATTCTTATTTGTATGGACTGGTAAGGCCACTGTGTGGCAAAACGTTTCCTCATTAAAGATACCCAAGTGTTGCATATGTGTCTAATTTATCAGTAAAGAAGTTGAAGGTTTGGTATACAAATGCAGACAGAATAACAAATAAGTGAGAGAAGTGGCATGAAAGAATCAAGGAGACATCCCTAGACATAATAGCACTCACAGAAACAAAACTCACAAGGATAACAGATGCAATCTTTCCACCTGGATATCAAGTACTCAGGAACGATAAAGAGAGGAGAGGGCGAGGAGGAGTTGCCCTGCTCATTAAAAAATGGTGGGGATTTGAGGAAATGGAAGAAATGGATGGGATGTGCGAAAGGGACTACTTAGTGGGAACAATCCAGTCTGAGGGCCATAAGGTGGTAATTGCAACCCTCCACAGAACTGCAGGAGGCCAAGAGAAGAATACGACAAGAGCAACACAGCAATGGTTGACACACTAGTCGAGGTGGCCAGAAGAGCTCACATGGGAGGAGCAAAGTTGCTACTTATGGGTGATTTCAATCACAAGGAGATTGACTGGGAAAACCTGGAGCCCCATGGGGGTACCAAAACATGGAGAGCCAAGATGATGGATGTAGTACTGGAAAACCTCATGCATCAATATATTAAAGATACTACCAGAGAGAGAGGTGAGGATGATCCAGCAAGACTGAATCTTGTATTCATCTTGAGTAGTTCAGACATTGATATGAAAGGGTCCTTGGAGCTCGTGATCATGTGGTTCTCTGCTTTGATTATATAGTTGAGCTACAAGTTGAGAGAGCAGCAGGAATAGGATGGGAAAAACCAAACTACAAAAGGGAGGACTACGCAGGCATGAGGAACTTCCTGCAAGATGTTCAGTGAGAGAGAGAACTGGCAGGAAAACCAGTAAAAGAAATGATGGACTATGTGACAAAATGCAAGGAGACAGAGGAGAGGTTTGTTCCCAAGGTAAACAAAATAATGGGAAGACCAGAACTAGTCATTGGTTCACCCAAAGGTGTAGGGAGGCAAAAACTAGGTGCACTAGAGAATGGAAAAGGTACAGAAGACAAAGGACCCAGGAAAATAGAGATCAACCAAAGAGCCAGAAACGAATATGCACAGATAAGAAGGGAGGCTCAGCAACAATACGAAAATGACATAGCATCTAAAATCAAGTCTGACCTGAAGCTGTTGTATACCCACATCAGGAGGAAAACAACAGTCAAGGACCAGGTAATCAGGCTGAGGAAGGATGCTGGGGAGTTAACAAGAAACGACAAAGAGGTATGTGAGGAGCTCAACATGAGATTTAAAGAAGGATTTACAGTGGAAACAGTTAGGACTCCAGGAATTCAGAACAAGGAAGTACACCAACAAGTACTGGATGAGGTGCACATAACCGAGGACGAGGTGAAGAAGCTGCTATGTGAACTTGATACCTCAAAGGCGGTGGGACCCGACATCTCTCAGTGGGTCCTTAGAGAGAGAGAGCAGAGATGCTGTGTGTGCCACTAACAAAGGTCTTCAACACATCCATTGAAACTGGGCAACTACCTGAGGTATGGAAGATGGCAAATGTAGTCCCAATTTTTAAAAAAAAGGAGACAGACACGAGGAACTAAACTACAGACCTCTGTTGCTAACATTTATAGTATGCAGAGTTATGGAGAAGATCATCAGGAGGAGCATGGTGGAGCACCTGGAAAGAAACAAGCGTATAATCGACAACCAGCACAGTTTCAGGGAAAGAAAATCCTGTGCCATAAACCTATTGGAGTTTTATGACAAAATGACAGAAGTATAAGAAGAGAGAGGGAGGGGTGGATAGACTGCATTTTCTTAGACTGCAAGAAGGCCATCGGCACAGTTCCTCACAAGAGGTTAATGTAAAAGCTAGAGGATCAGGCACACATAACAGGAAAGGCACTGCTATGGATCAGAGAATATCTGACAAGGCGGCAACAACGAGTCATGGTACGTGAATGATATATGAATGACATATTGGAAGGGATAGACTCAGAAGTGTCCTGTTTGCAGATGATGTGAAGGTAATGATGGGAATCAAACCGGTTGAGGATCAGGCAGGACCACAAAGGAACCTGGACAGGCTACAGGCCTGGTCCAGCAACTGGCTCCTGGAATTTAACCCTGCCAAATGCAGTCATGAAGATCGGGGAAGGGCAAAGGAGACCGCAGACAGAGTATAGTCTAGGTGGCCAATGACTGCAAACCTCAGTCAAGGAAAAATATTTTGGGGTGAGTATAATACTGAGCACATCTCCTGTGGTGCACATAAGTCAGATATCTGCTGCAGCATACCGGCGTCTAACAAACCTGAGGATAGCGTTCCGACACCTCAGTAAGGAATCGTTCAAGGCTCTGTACATCAAATACGTCAGGCCCATACTGGAGTATGCAGCACCAGCTTGGAATCCACACCTGGTCAAGCACGTCAAGAAATAACAGAAAGTTCAAACGTTTACAACAAGACGAGTCCCAGAGCTAAGTGGATTCTCCTACGAAGAAAGGTTAAGTGAAATTGGCCTGCCGACAGTGGAGGACAGGAGGGCCAAGGGAGACATAATAACGACATATAAAATACTGTGCTGAATAGACAAGGTGGACAAAGACAGGATGTTCCAAGGATGGGACACAGAAACAAGGGGTCACAATTGGAAATTGAAGACTCAGGTGAGTCAAAGGGATGTTAGGAAGTATTTCTTCAGTCATAGAGTTGTCAGGCCGTGGAACAGCCTAGAAAGTGACGTAGTGGAGGCGGGAACCATACATAGTTTTAAGACGAGGTTTGATAAAGCTCATGGAGCAGGGAGAGAGAGGACCCAGTAGCAACAAGTGAAGAGGCGGGTCCAGGAACTGTGACTCGACCTCTGCAACCACAAATAGGTGAGTACAAGCACTTGAGTACACACACACACACACATACACACACACATACACACACACACACACATACACACACAAGACACACACACACACACACACACACTGCGTGGAATAGACAAGGTGGACAAGGACAGGATGTTCCAGGGAGGGGACACAGAAACAAGAGGCCACAATTGGAAGTTGAAGACACAAATGAGTCAGAGAGATAGTAGGAAGTATTTCTTCAGTCATAGAGTTGTAAGGCAGTGGAATAGCCTAGAAAATGACGTAGTGGAGGCAGGAACCATACACAGTTTTAAGACGAGGTTTGATAAAGCTCATGGAGCGGGGAGAGAGAGGGTCTAGTAGCAACCGGTGAAGAGGCGGGGCCAGGAGCTAGGACTCGACCC